AATTGGCCTGGCTCCACATTTGCTGTTCTGTAGCATCCCTCCAAGGTGCACTTGAAGTCACTAATGTAGAGGAAGCAAATGGATTGTGTCGCGTTAGTGAAGGCAAGACTACCCTATGCAGGAATTGATGGCCCGCTAATGAAAAAGGAAATGGTCTGGTGTGTCAGGTGTTGGCAGCCAGTTGCTCAGGTTTTGAGCTAAGCCAAGAGACCTTAGCCATGAAAGTAATTCTGATTCTAGCAAAGAGAATGCACCCACTTTGAGCCTCAGCCTGACTGTCAAGGGCCTTCCTAATTAAAGGGATCCAGTGCTTTGAAGTGGCTGGACCCTTTTCTTTTGCTTCTAACTCTTTCTCACGTTGCCTCTTCACGTCTTGTTTTAGACCATGTCTCACTGTGGCCCAGACTGGCCTAGAGCTACTTCAACTTTGATGTCATGTAACTTTGATGTTAAATCTGAGAATTTTTGTTTTTATTTATTTTGGAGGTAGTGTCACACTATATATCCCTGGAATTTGCTGTGTGGACTAGGGGCTATCCTGTTGTCCTAGCATTCCAGGTTCTGCAGCTAGACCTGAGCCACCATACCAAGGCTAACGGGAATCTTGAAACCTTCATCCTCAATCTATGCACAGCTCCCCAGTGATATTTACTTAACTGGGCGTGCACTACTTGGTTTGATTCAACAGCAGCAATGTGTTTATTTCTGGGTGTTTAACTGTCTCTTGTAGCATGAATCTTCAAAGTTCTTATTAATAAAATCAAACCTGAGGCCAGTTATTGGGGTGAACGCTGGAAGATCAGAGAAGCAGAACAAGCCACAGCTACCTCACCTCGCCAGTTCCTCAGACTGGATGCCTCTCAGCTGAGCTGTGCTGCTCCAAAGCCTAAAAGCTTAACCAGCTTAGTTCCTGGTTTTCACACCTTATATACCTTTCTACCATGGCGTCCTGGGATTAAAGGCGTGAGTCACCATGCCTGGCTGTTTCCAGTGTGGCTTTAAACTCACAGAGATCCAGATGGATCTCTGCCTCCCAAGTGATAGGATTAAAGGCGTGTGCTACCACTGCCTAACCTCTATATTTAATATTGTGGCTGTTCTGTTCTCTGACCCCAGATAAGTTTATTAGAGTACACAATGTTTTGAGGAACACAATACCACCACAGTTTCTCCTTAAGATGAATTTGTATCTGGGCTTGGTAGCAAACACCTTTAATCCTAGCACTCGGGAGGCAGAAGCAGGTGGATCTCTGTGAGTTCAAAGCCAGCCTGGTCTACAGAGTTAATTACAGGACAGCCAAGGCTATGTAGAGAGACCCTGTCTCAACAAAGAAAAAGGCTGAATTTCTGTTGAGTGTGGTGGCACACATCTTTAATTCCAGTAGTCATGAACAGAGGCAGGTGGATCTCTCATTCCCAGGCCAGCCAGGGCTGCATAGTAACATTGCCTGAAAAGAGAAGAGAAAGAATGAATTTACCATTTGTAGAACTAGAAAGCATTGAGTTTTATTACAATTAGGATGTGCAGCTGATTTTCTAGAGAAGAAAGTAATTTTGGCTGTGAACTAAAAATGTGCCAATGCAAAGAAGGGGTTCTTCATTTCTTCATGCTTAAATTATTAGCCAGCCCCAGCAGGGCGGTGGTGGCGCACGCCTTTAATCCCAGCACTCGGGAGGTGGAGGCAGGTGGATCTTTGTGAGTTTGAGGCCAGCCTGGGCTACCAAGTGAGTTCCAGGAAAGGCGCAAAGCTACACAGAGAAACCCTGTCTCGGAAAAAAAAAAATAAATAAAAAAAATTATTAGCCAGCCCAAATGACAGGCAGGAACATAATGACTTGCTCTTTTCTTTCTCCTTCTCTATTTTTTTTTTTTTTTTTTTTTTTTTTTGGTCGGGGGGGATCTCACTATATAGCCTTAGCTGGTCTGGAACTCACAGATCTTGCCTCTGGCTCTCAAGTGCTGGCATTATAGACATGTACCACATGCCCTGTGCAATTAAAGGAAGCACTTTACGGCTTCTCTTTGATGTATCAGAATTGTTCCCTTGTGTCTTAGGTCATTATTCAGTAAAGTAAGAGCTGAACACAAGCGCTGATACCACAACAGTCTGACCATTTAAGTGGTTAACAGGCAGATACTGTATATAATGTGTGTAGATGGGCAGAGCAGCGATTCCTGTTCCAGGAAGGACAGCACAACTGGCATGAAGAAGTCACCATGCTTGCTCAGAATAGGACACAGCTTAAAACCTAGGTTTTTAAGTTGTTTACTTGTGGGATTTTCCATTTGATATTTTTGGGTCATGGTTGACTGGGGAATTGAAACTGCACAAAAAGAAACCACGAATGGGAGCAGCTGCTGTACCCATGCATATGTGCATAGCCTCATACATTATTCTACACATACAATGTGCCCTGTGTGGGCTGTTGTACCCATGCATATGTGCATAGGCTCATACATTATTCTACACATACAATGTGCCCTGTGTGGCTGTTGTACCCATGCATATGTGTGTAGCTGCATACATTATTCTACACATACAATGTACATTTGGAATGTGCTGTTCTGTTTGGAAAACAGTGGTGTTCTTAATGGCACATTTTTTCTAGGGCTTTCAACATGAATGGGAAAGAGCTATTGTGGAGGTCCAGGTTTGAGAAGTGAGTGTGACCACAGTCAGCTAACCCACACAGTAGGTTCCCATCCAATGTACTTTAGTATGGTTTTGGTGATGACTCGGGGTTAGCCATCATTAGGATGCAGGGAAAACTTAAGCCTGGAGCGCTGGGCCTATTAGCATTATGCTTTTAGTGTACACAGAGTTTGGAGAATGACCATTTAACCTAAGAACCTGGTAAATTTTTTAAATATGCTTCCTAGAGCTGGTATATTTTGTAAACAATGGAAGGCGCCAGGCCAAGAGCTCCTTAACTTATGTAATTCATTAGACCTTGATTCTCAGAGCTATATTTGTTGATGGTTTCTATTCATGAAGTCAGGTGGAAGACAGCCAACGTCACCAGGAATAACCTTGTAGTGTGTGAGAGCTTTGTCCTCTGTGATCCTGTAGGATAGGAAAGAAGACCGCTTTGGGGACTCCTAGTTGGAAGTGGGGACTTGTGTGTCTGGGTTTTGTTTATTTTTGGTTGTGAGATAGGGTCTCATGTAGCCAATGCTAGTCTCAAAACTTGCGGTGTAGCTGAGGATGACCTTAAACTTCTAATCATCTTGCTTCCACATCCAGAATGCTGGGATTACAGCTATGTACCACCACACCAGTTTATATGGTGCTAGGGCTCAAACCTGGGGTTTCCCGGGTGTCCATGCTAGGCAGTCACTCTATCAACTGAACTGTTTTTATCATACACAATTGGCCATCCTGACTCAGACACAAATGGATATGTAGGCTTTGGATAAGGCATTTGCCAGTTACCCTGCTCATCACTGAAGTTAAGGACAGATTAGAATCTCCATAAAATCTGCAGGTGTTGGTCTGCATGTATGTATAGAACTAAGTCATGTAGCTGCCCACTGAGGCTAGGAGAGGACATCAGGTCCCCTGCAAA